TGAGCAAATGAACCCATTTTCTGGCTGAGCTTTTGTCATTAATACCTTGATCGCCTTTTCAGCTCAAGAAGTCCGCAAGCAATGCAGAGGATCGGCGACGTAAGAGTCTATTACCCTGGCACCGTAAGACGCGCAGCAAATCTCGTGATCGCAACGAAATAATTGCCGATCTGCAGCAAACGTTGATGCCCCCACCGCAAGCACCGAGCTCAACGACGACAGGAGTGCCAGCGCCGCTGTTGACGCTGTTGTCTGGCGGCTCGGTGAGCGATTTACACAGTTCCCGCTCCTCCTTGTCATCCTTCGATGCAAACCAGGTCGGACAGGGATTTAGCGCGGACAACGTTTGCTCCTTGTGCCGAGTCATACTCACCGACGGAGCCACAACTATTGTACAGACTCGTCCCGGCGAGACAGTAGCCCAACTAGTGGAGCGACTACTGGAAAAACGCAACCTCGTCTATCCCCATTATGATGTTGTAATCCAGGGCAGTAGCAAATCTATAGATACGCAGCAGTCCTCAAAGTTGCTGGCTGGCAAGGAGGTGCTAATCGAACGTCGCGTGGCCTTCAAGCTGGATCTGCCCGATCCCAAGGTCATATCGGTGAAGAGCAAGCCCAAGAAGCAGCTGCACGAGGTAATCCGGCCCATATTAAACAAATACAACTATCGAATGGAGAGCGTGCAGGTGTTGGTGCGCGATACTCAAGCCCCGCTTGATCTGATGCAGCCCGTCACAGTGGCTGATGGCCTGCGGCTTCAAATAGTCTTGATCCAGCCGGATTTTCAGCAAGGCGGCGGCATTAACATGCCGCCGAAGCATAGTAAACCAATGAAACCGCTACCAGCGCTGACGACGACGGATCCGACGCAGGGTCAGCTGGATGAGCTCACCAACAAGGTTTTCAATGAGCTGCTGCAGAGTAAATCGGATGCTGCAGCAGCGCCGAACCAAAAACCAAGCGATCTGTGCTCCATGAAGTCAAATGAAGCTCCCTCGGAGAGCTCCTCTACGCTGTTCGATCGCATGCGGCGGCAACAGCGCGAGAATAGCAACATTCCAGGCAGCAAGCTGCCCAAGCTGAAAAAGAAATCCACGAGCAGTCAACATTCCGAGGAGGCAACCTCAACCGCAGCCGCAGCAGCCACGGCAATGCCGAATGTCGATCCCAAGAAACCCATCATAGCCAAGCTCAAGGCAGGCGTCAAGTTGCAGTGCACGGAGCGAGTAGCAGAGCACCAAGGTGAGTGTGGACATGAAGTTAGTGATCCTCACATGTTTGACTGAAATTCTATAATTTGCAGATGAACTACTCGAAGGCTTGAAGCGAGCACAACTGGCGCGCCTGGAGGATCAACGGGGCACTGAGATTAATTTTGATTTGCCCGACTTTTTGAAGAACAAAGAGAATCTCAATGCGGCTGCCTCCAAGTTACGCAAGGTGCGCGCCAATTTGAGTCCAGTTAACAAGGTCAGCAACAGCGGAACAGATGCGCCTCAACCAGCGCCACGCCTCTCCATTACACGCAGCCAACAGTCACCCATGAAAGTGGATCCTGAGGTGGATACAGATTTAGCGGCAATGGCACCGGCAACGTCAGCGTCAGCATCCATTGACCAACAGGATTTACAGGATTTCGCTAAAGCACCGCCACCATTGCCGCCCAAGCCAAAGGTGTTGCCCATCAAGCCATCGAATTGGGGCGTGGCCAATGCTCCGCCCAATGGGAACTACAGCAATAAATTCTCGCCCGCCAATCACGCACCCGCATTGACGTCGGCATCGACGACGACTAGTACGTCACCCTCAGCAACAGCCACAGCTTTGTCCTTTGCCACCAAGCTACCGCTGGACATGGCACGCAAATCGCTGGAGCAGCCAGGCACACGATGTGCGTACCTTGATGAACCCAGCAGCAGCTTTGTTTAACCCTAAGTCTACTTATCGATCTACGACTGATCATTGTACATACTTTTATATATATTTATTAATATTTGTATTCTATGAAGTGTTTTAGAAGTAAGAGCCCATCACAAGGATATCTGACAAGCGTTGCGGCACACAGCTGCTTCGCAAGCTTATCATATTTATAATTAGGTGCACGTTATCTTAAGTTTGAATGAATAAATAAACACCTCTATTTAAACGCACATCTTTTTTTTTTGCAAAAACAACTGACGCTTTCGAACTACAAAATGGATCGTATATAATATGAGCAGCTTTCCAACTGATTATATATTTATATAGCTTTCTACACAACTTTTTTTTTTTGGTATCTCGAACAGTAGTATACATATATTATAATGTATATGCAGGTGTGTTGGGAACCTTCGAAAACCGAATCATTAATTTAAATAATACAATGATATATGTATATTTAATATTTTTAACAACTTCAAGCAAATGCATTATACCATAGGATACCGTTTAGTTATTCTAAAATTAGGCTACATTTAATTATTTTTAATTATAACGGCTCATAAAGATTTGAGAAAATTTTGAAAATGCGGCATTTCTCGGTACAAATAATATCTGGAGGATTTCTGCAATTCTTAAGCAAATCAAGCTAAAGCACATTTCAATTACACTGTATTACAAGATTCATCCATATATTAACAACTGCTACTGCCAAGCTTATCATACAAAATCTATGAATCTAATTTGCAATTTCTTATATTTCTATTAGTTGATTTTGCAGCGATAAATAATCTTGATAGGGTAACATATTTAAGAAAGAGTAATTAATAATGCAAATGAAGAAATTTATATGACTCCGCTTTACATAACATTTCAGGCATTTGCATAGAGGCGCTTTTTTTTTGACGACACACATAACGTACTGAAAAAATGGTATTGGATTGAAAAGCAATCGATGATCTTGCCCTTTAAGTAATCCACTCTACTTATCTACTTCATTGTGAACAAAGTTGCACCAGTTTTCCCATGGACCCAAATACCAAGTACCATTTGCAAAATAAAAAATAAATTGAATGTTAAAAAATAAACAAAAATTAAATTTATGAAGTTTCGATTAACGTTATTGTACAATGTCAACGCGAAGTCTTCTGAGCCGCCAGGCAGCCCACAGAAAGTATAATCAAATGGAGAGAGTGGGTTTGGCGACCTGCTCCGTGGTTTGAGCTGTAGGTGTCACTTGGGCGCTGCTCGTGTTAAGCTGTTCCGCTTGCTGGTTTGTGGTGGGTTCCAATTGCTTGGTCTGGTCACCGGCGCTAAGCTCTTTCGTCGTTTCCTCAACAATTTCGTCTGTGATACGATACGTTATGGGCGCTGGTTGCTTTGCTGGTAGCCAATCGGGAATGATCTTGTCGTGTAGTCGCCATTTCCCGTACTCATTGGAAATGTGCTTTTCAAAAACAACATATTCCAGTACATCCTTGCTAAGGATCTCACTACCATGCATCAGTCGACCAAATCGATCATATATAGCCAGCATTTGTTGGGTGTGAAAGCGTACTGTGACCTGAGCAAACTGGTTTTCCTTGGTGATCACTTCAGTGACGCGAGCATGCACCACACGAGGTGGTTCCAACGATTGCAGGAAACGCCAATGTATTGTCTTATCCTTAACATTATGCATCATTTCAGGATAACAGCGTTCGCTCACAAACTCTCTTATCTTATACTTCTCCTTTGCTGCCATATGTGTATGCGCTGCTATGTAGATCTCTTGGGCTTGTGCTCCAAAGTCATCGGTACTGAAATTCTCCTCGTAAGAACGTATTTTCCGTACAGCCATAAGGCTCTTCGATTTTTTCTCGAGAAATTCTAGTTTCTGCTTAGCGCCCGAAGAGGAAATGAAAGACTTCTTGCCATCTCCTTCGGGGGGAACGTATGCCTCAAATATTCCACCCGTGCAACTGATGTGAAACGGACGTTCCATCCATGGGCGAGGGGGCAATACACCACGCTCTTTCATACGGCTACGCATCTCCTCCTTGCTCACATCTTCAGGTTTCTCGCGTAAATTAGGCAAATCAATTTTCACAAATTTTAGCTTGCGCAACCTTTTAAACTCGGGCTTCCAGTGCTTAGTTTGTCGATGGCGCACCTGCTGTAATTGACACGCATTTTGTACGCCCGGAAGCAACGCACGCACTCCAGATGTTGCAACCTGCGGCATCTGAAATTTTAATGAAAACAATACGTATGGTGAAACCTTGGAGCACCTAAATATCCTATTTATTCCCACCTGCATCTGGATGAGTTTCTTGCTGGCACATACTAGTTTTTCCATGGCTAATTCGACTTTTTTCTAAAACCACGGAACTTAAATGCTTACTGCATGCTTATACAATCAGCTATCGATAGAAGCGCATCAGCTGTTAACCGGCAAACTATCGATACCTTAGCCCATATTTACATCGAGTACACATGATTATCGATTTAAACATATTTATTTAAATTGTTCATTTAAAAATTAAATATACACAACGAATTTTATGGTTGGATTTTCATTTGTTAACGCTTAATCGGACGTATTACTTTAATCCAACCCAATGTGTACAAAAGACAAGAACAAAAACATAATTAATTGTTTGTGCTAAGTCCTTTCTAAAATATAAAAAAAAAAATAAATAAATTGTTTTGAAAATAAGTAAACTGTAAGTGTTATAAGATTTACCTTAACACGTCGTGCTTGCTTAATTTCTTTGTAAATGGTGATCGAATTTCCCCCACGATTTGAACGTAAAACGCGATCCCTGCAAAAGTGAAGTTTTGTTAATATTTGCTGGTCGAAATTTCTTTTCCTATCAACTTACTTTGCAGGACAGTCGCCACCTTCAATGCGGTAATCATGTATGGAAAGATTAGATGGAATGCTTTTTAGGTTCTTTAAGCACACCTTGGCATTCTCAATGTCGTTTTCTAGACGCATTACTAAACAAATTAGAAACAACAACAAATAATGAAACAGATACATATAGATTATAATAAAACGAACCTTTTAACATAAGTTTGTCTTCAGTGTCATCGCAGCAGAGTGAGCTCTTGCAAGTGCAGCACTGTTTTTTTTGAACGGCTGTTGACGGCACGAGGCTTTGTGGATTACAGGACATTATATCCTTCATTATCATATTAAACAGGCATCCAGGCAGAATGTTTTCTGCCGCAGCAAAGATACGCTTGTGCATATAGGCCAGGTCCTTAAAATCCAACGTGTGCAGCCCATGGTGGTAGAGCTTATGGCATATAGCATAAAAGCGGCTTTTCGGAATATTGCATTTGCAGAAACAAAATCCACACTCATCAATAAACATATCCAAAATTTTGCGTAACTCCCTTTCCAAGCTAACGCCATCGATTTCACCGGCTGATAACGTTTTCGCTGTGTTCTTAACAAATTCGTCGAACTGCTCTTCAGTGGTATCGTCCAGTTTTGAACCCTCTTCTCTTTTGCCCTTTTTCCCGGCGGACTTCGAGCCTCTTCCAACGGTACCAGCGCCCCCCTTTTGTCCTTGAGCGGTTCCACCAGCTCCTTGTTTATCGTCTCCGGCCCCACCCTTTGCGCCTTGTTGTCCATCCCCAGCACCACCAGATTTTCCAGCACCAGATTTTCCACCTGCTGAGTCGCCAGCCGCTGCACCAGATTTTCCAGCTGCTGAATCTCCGGACTTTCCGGCTTCTGCGGCTCCAGCACCAGCTTTTCCGGCTGCTGAATCTGCTCCAGATTTCCCGGCTGCTGAATCTGCTCCAGATTTTCCGGCTGCTGAATCTCCAGCCGTAGCTCCAGTTTTTTCAGCTGCTGAATCTCCGGACTTTCCGGCATCTGCGGCTCCAGCACCAGCTTTTCCGGCTGCTGAATCTGCTCCAGATTTCCCGGCTGCTGAATCTGCTCCAGGCTTTCCGGCTGCTGAATCGGCTCCAGACTTGCCCGCTCCAGAATCTGCACCAGGTTTCCCGGCTGCTGAATCAGCTCCAGATTTCCCAGCTCCAGAATCTGCACCAGGTTTCCCGGCTGCTGAATCGGTTCCAGATTTCCCAGCTCCAGAATCTGCACCAGGTTTCCCGGATGTTGAATCGGCACCAGATTTCCCGGCTGCTGAATCTCCGCCCTTACCACCAGCTTTCCCGTCTGCCGAATCTCCGGCGCCAGGTTTTCCAGACGTTGAATCACCGGGCTTAGCACCAGGTTTCCCGGCTGCTGAATCTCTGGCAGAAGCTCCTTTTTTTTCGGCAGCTGAATCTCTGGGCTTGTCACCTGCTTTTGAACCGCCTTGTGCTTTCTTAGCCTCTTCTGCTGCTTTCTTCTGCTCTTCCAATTTCTTTTTGGCTGCATTAGCAAGATTATCAGGATCCACTCCAAGATCCCTCAAAGCAGATTTCAAAGTGTTATTGACTTCTTCGCACTGCTCTTTCTTTTTTAAGCAATCTTCTAACTGTTTCATTAAATCACTTGCTTTCAAGTCATCAACCTTACCCTTCAGTTTATCATTTTCTCTAGCAACATCCCCAATATCTTGTATTAGTCCAATGCTCTCTCGCATACCCTCCTCCATATATCTTGTGTCATCATCGAGTTGTTGTACTTTCTTATCCAATTCGTTGAGTCGTTTTTTGCTTTCTAGAGCGGCTTCGCACATGCACTCATTCTCCTCTATCAATTCACCCAACTGACTATCCTTCTCCTTTAACAAATTCTTCAAGCGATCCAGTTCACATGCACAGTCATCTAAATTTTTGATATCCTTACCACCGTCATACTTATCCTCGCTCATTTGCCTGAAACAATCTGCCTGTTTGCTCATCTCGTTCATTATATGCTCCAGAGTGACACTCGTGTAGAAGGCCAAATCATCACCAATATCGGGACAATCTGGCGGTTCATCAAACGGAGGGCATTCAGAAGGTTGACTTCCATACCTCTGATTTAGTTCACATATAACATTCTAAAATAAGTGGGATGTGTGTAAAAAAAAAAAAAAAACAAAAGGATTAGAGAGGAAAATCATTGGAAGTAGTTGAGGATTGAAGCTGTATGCGAGGGCTTGAGAAAGAGGAAGGGAGAAATAAACATGTGTGTAAGCCGCTAGCAATCCAGAGACCAACTTTCCGACGACTTTCCTCTCATACCATTCATGTATCAATTGATTTTTTTTTTCTGTAACTATTTCATAATGTGCACTTTCAAAATTTTAAGATACTACAGAATTTAAGCATGAATTGTCGTATGGGGCAGAACGTAAAATTATATGGTACGGCGTCAACATGTAATATCTCCATTATCCTCTATCCCAGTCTCATTAAAACAACTATCATTGCAATTGTCTATTAGTTCGTCTAGGTAACGGTACCCAGATTTCTTGAACGCTTTAGTTTTATGCTTTGGAAGACAAGAAGGGGTAATACATAAAATTCATCACCATACGATGAGAAATTCTTACCATTAGCTGCTGATATTGACAATCGTAGGCATTTAATGCCAAATCGCGTTTTCGCAGCTCACTTCTTAGAACATCGATTTCCATTTGCATAGTGTCCGCTCGCTGCATCGCAGGTTGGAGAGTGACCACTTGCTGTTGGAGCTCCTTGCAGCGACACTGTAAGCAATAAAGGTCATATACTGTATGTATGTATATTAAATGAAATTATATTAACGTACCTTAAGTACTTCCTCATTGTATTTGGTTTTTTCCACCTCATGTTCATAGTACTGCTGCATTTCATGAATGTCATTCTCCATGTCACATATACAACGCTTTTGGTTGTTGACGGTTTTAGTTAGCTCAGCACTCTCTCTAGCCTTCTTTTGTGCAGCCTTAGACAAATCATTGAGCGATCCCAAAGACTTGATCTTTTTTCGGAGAGACTCACGGTCAGCCAACATAACTTGTAGTCTATTGGCATCACTGTTTGCATCGTTACAAGGATTTCCACCGCGTTGTGCTCCAGATCTTGTAAATTCGTCCTCAGCTTGTCGCAGTATAGCCAACTCCTTGCCTAAATTGTTTATCTTATTTTGTAAATATTGGACATCGCTGTTTCTTTCTGGATCAATTTTGATGCTGTCCATCGCCGCACGCCTTGACTGCTTTTCAAGTATTCTTCTAAGATTACCATTTTCAGCTTCTAGTATGTCATGAGACTTATTCATATCGTCGATGGCCCTTTGGATATCCCGCAGATCTCTTTCATCGGAACTGTTTATCTTTTTAGCATTTGACAGCTCTCTAATTTTGTTATCGAAGGCTTTGCTTATTTCAGGATCATAACGTTGTTGCATTATGCGTTGGATTTCTGCATTTTTCATTGGAGGGGTGGCTTTGGGATCAGTTGGATCTCTATCTATAATTTTGTTGCTAACCATTGCATTTTTCATGGTTTCAATAGTATCATTCGCAGCGACCAGAAGACTGTCGCCCGTTAAATCATCGTCCTCAGGCCGGTTCCTGCCGGGACCTCCAGGGCCAGGTGGCCCACCGGGTGGTCCACCAGGTGGACCCCTAGAGCCTCCCGAGCATGGACATGAGCCTCCTGGGCCCGAACCACCGGGTCCACCGGGTCCACCAGGTCCACCAGGACCACCGCCACCATAGCCGCCTGGGCCCGAGCCACCGGGTGGTCCACCAGGACCTCCATAGCCTCCAGGGCCCGGACCACCAGGTGGTCTTCCGGGACCTCCTGGGCCTCCTGGACCTCCTGGCCCTGGACCACCAGGACCATAACGTTGCTTAGAGCAACTACAAGGAGCATCTGAAGGACCTCGACCACGATCTCTAGCTCCTTCCGCACCACGATCGCCAGGTCTTACAGCCGGACCTCCTCTACCGTAATCATCAGGTCCTTTACCCTCCTGATCAGGTCGTGGTCCACCTCGTTCACCAGGAGCACCCGAACCGCGGCAGGTGTCTGCAGTACATGGACCCTTACAACGATCCGGTCCACAAGGTCGCGATTTCCCACCACCTTTACCTTTCCCCTCCTGATCAGGGGATTCGGATTCTCCGTCTTTTCCCTGACTTGATCCACCTCGTCCTTCATTATCGTTGTCATCATTTGCTTTTTGGGATTCCGGATCGTTTCCCTGTGAGTCCTGCCCTATTGGTTCTCCTTCTGAAGCCTTCAGATCGGTATCTTCAGACGGTCCCTCACCCATACTTAAGGATTGTTCAAGTTCCCGACCACCTCCAGAATCTCCCTCATCTTGATCTGAACCTTTTCCACCGAGACTTCCTTGACTCGGATCTGTGCTGTGCGTACCCTTACTTGAGTCCTGCCCCTTTTGACTCGGTTTTCCTGCTTTGCCGCCAGTTTGCCCATCACCATCACCATACCTGCCGTCATCAGGACGACACATAAGAGGAGTATTGCAAGCCACCAGATCGGCGACAAAACGCGACTTTTTGTCTTCGTCGGCTGCCCAAGAACGATCATCAAATGTAGATGGATAAGTTTTTAACTTGACGCATGCTTTCTGGCATTCAAAATCAGGCTTCTCGTTCATAAAAGGCACATGAAAGAATTCTTTCTGCGTAGAGAACGCCATATTGCAACGCTCAAGAGCTTGCACTGGCCGAGTTTACAAAGCGAATTATTTTTGAACACAAATTTCAATTTTTCCTTTTGAAATGTATATGGCTGGAGAGATTAAAAAGTAATATCGAAAATACGTCCGACATCAATTGTATCACCAAATTTTCTAATATTCCACGTGCGACAATTTTCACATTTGCTACTTTACTGTACTATTCTGTAATGAGCTATATATATGTAATGTGATGTGCGTGCTATCACATAGCCTACTGTGGTCAATAACTAATCCGAGACTACAATTTCATGTCCGTTTACTTCCTTAGTTCTAGGTACAGCTAACTTTTCTGTGCATTGTAAATTTCTCCATTCTTAAATTCAAAAAGAAGTAATAAACTTATTTAGCAGCGGTAGCCCTTTATATAGGGCGACCTTCACCCAAAGCATAAGTTGCGCTCAAATGTTGAGCCCGATGCCAGGTAGGGGTCGTTACAGTCGAACTTTATGTGACCAATGGGAACCCTCTCTGATGCTGCAAGCCATATAGCTTTGCTTTGCTCAAATATAAACACCAAATGAATACTGCTGCATAAATAGAGACAAATTAAATTATTTTCTGTCGTTCATATTCGTACCTTGCTTTTGTTAAGCAAACAGATAGACAGAAAAACAAACTGTGAGACATATGTATGTATATATGTACATATGTAGGTAAATCAAATCGCATTGTTAAGTCTGATGTTTGAAAATACTATATGTTGGCATATTAAAAGCTTACTTATATACAATTATTGAGATTTATAATTATTAGATGGCATCGACAGCAGTTTCTTCTATTGCGTGGGTATCTAAAGGGCGAGGATATCTACATAGACTGCGGCAATTTCTGGGTATTTCATCCCATACCACCTTTCGGTAGATTTATTACTGAATAGCTAGGGTAAACGGGCAACACTGCCGTTATGTACAAGAGTGTTATTGGTTATCGGTTATGCTGATGTTCGTACGACGCGAATGAATTATCGATATTCACAACAGCTGCAAGGCATACGCTCACATTATTTGTTAACAGTTTCGCTAAAATGTCCACAAGACCGCGCCGTCAAGCAGCTAGAAAAAATATAGTAATTGAGATCTCGGACTCGGAAGATAATGCAAGTGAGGCCAATGATAATGACGAATATAAGCCAAGAGAGACACATCGTCGTTTCATAGATCGTGCTGCAGCAGCTGTAGCGTCTGGCGCGTAAGCCCTTTCATATTGAAATAATATTAATGTCCCACATTAAATATCTTAAATAAACAATATATAAACAGCAGTACGAAGAGAAAGCGAGGTAACGATTCGAAAAGCAATGCACCAGAGTCTAAGGAAAAACGCGCAAAACAGGACAAGGAGAATGCCTTGCCCAACCAAATCAATGATGTTAATGAAACATCAGTGGAACCACCATTGCCGACTGTATTACCTCAAGATGAAGGCGAGCACAGAACACTTCCGGTGGCGTCCAGTTCCACCACGGGTCGCAGCTCGTTCTGGGAGCGACGCAAAGTGTGGAACATACATGAACTTTTAGCCGAAACAGAGCATATACAACCGACAGCAGCGCGTAACATTGTGCAGCTTTTTGAAAATGAAAACACCATTCCATTTATTTGCCGGTATTATTGAGCAGCACTCGTTGATTTTGATAATATAATAACGTGTGTTCCCTTAGTTATCGACGAGATCTTGTGGATCACATAACACCAGATCGCTTGCGAGATATACGGAACACATATTCGGAGATTGTCGATCTGCGCAAGAAGGCGGAAAACATTGTTAATCAGCTAGAGCGAGAGAATATGATTAATACTGAGATTCGAGAAGAACTGTTGTGTGCGAAGACCAATGAAGAGCTGGAATTTTTGTATGCACCATACAAACCGGCTAGCAAAGGCACCTTGGCAGAGCGGGCGAAGGCTTTGGGCTTGGAGCAATATGCCGATGCCTTACTTTATGGAACAGCGCCAATAGTGCAGCTGTCCTCGGCTGTTGATTCAAGCAACAAGGATTTAGCAACAGAGGAGCAAATAATGGTCGGAATCTGTAACATTATTATACACAACATAAGTAAAAACACAAGTGTTCTTGAGGAACTGCGTCGCCTGTAAGTTCAAACTAACATCTGGACATATCATATCAGTTTTTAACGTTTTATTTTCAAATTGCCAGTCAAAATGTACAGCGGATTGTACTCAAATGCAGCAAAACTAAAAGCACGACGGCCTCAAAAGAAGAGAAAAAGAGTAAAGTTGCTTCTGGTGGCATTGCGGACAAGAAGCTTGATAGTTCCAAATTCGAGAACTATTTCAATTTTCAATGTGATGTAAAGACAATCAAGCCGCATCAGACTTTGGCTATCAATCGAGGGGAGAAACATAAATTTCTCACCGTAAAAGTTGAGACCAACAACTATTTAAAGTCCGATCTGACGCGATTTATATCGGAGCAGTACATGTCTCAAGGCCTTCAGTATCCTCTACGTAGAGAGGTGTTTACTCGTGCACTGGAAGAGTGCTACACTAAAAAATGTAAGCTGCATGAGAAAACAACAAGCAATACCTATAATTTGTATACCTTTTGATAGTGCAACCTCTGCTCTGTCGCCAGATTCGAGCCAAGTTAAAGGAGAAGGCTATAAGAGCAGCCATAGAAGTGTTTGCGAAAAATTTGAAACAACTATTGTTGATGTCACCTCTGAAAGGTGAACGCATTCTAGGCATAGATCCAGGCTATACAAATGGCTGCAAATTGGCTCTTATATCCGAGACAGCCGATGTTCTGGAATCGGGTGTTATCTACCCACATGGGCGACATGCCAATCGAAAAGAAGCCGAACAAAAATTGGTACAGCTCCTTACCAAACATAAGTAATCAGAAATCACGATCAAAATTGTGCTATTTGAATTTAATGTTTGTTCTATTTACTATGTCATAGTTGTCGTGTCATTGCTCTGGGAAACGGAACTGCTTGTCGCGATACAGAGATGTGGCTGACGTCGCTCTTTCAAGCGGGCATTTTGGACAATCGCAGCATTCGTTATAGTATTGTAAATGAGAATGGCGCTTCCATTTACTCTTGCAGTACTGTGGCAACCAAAGAGTTTCCCAACATGGACATGAACTTGATAAGTGCAGGTTGGGCTCTATTAAATTCAGTTCCCAGTATGATTTCGAAATAATTTAATGTGATATTTTAGTATCTATTGCCCGACGCCTCAATGATCCGCTAAGTGAATACGTGAAGATAGAGCCACGCCACTTGGGTGTGGGTATGTACCAGCACGATGTAAATGAGAAAATGCTCACGGAGACACTGAATGACGTTGTCTCCGAGTGTGTTAGTTTTGTGGGCGTGGATCTAAATACAGCGAGTCTCAGTGTGTTAAAGTAAGTTATAAAAACTACAATAATCAATGAAAATCATTTAACCCTTTACTGTGCACGTCTGTTTGCAGACACATTGCTGGTTTGTCCGAAAAGAAGGCTGAAAAAATCATTGAACATCGTACACAAAAGGGTCCATTTAAATCGCGCAAGGATCTACTCACTGTGCGCAGCATAGGTGAGAAAACCTATGTTCAATGCGCAGGTTTTGTGCGAATCGAACCACTTAGTGTTGGTGGAGCATTAACCAATCCGCTTGACTGCACCTGGGTGCACCCTGAAAGTTACCAATTGGCCGAAACGTGAGTCACAAAAAATATGGTCGCGTATATTTTCCCAAACGTCAATTTATAAATTCGACTGATGTACACTGGTGCTAAATTAATTTAAATCATCATTTAACTTTTCCAATTCAGCCTGAAGCAGTGAGGTATCACTTTGCTTTTCCAGATAGCTAGTGTCGCTAGAATCAAGCTGAGCTTTAATACTCTTGTGGCAAAGAACTTCGGTGTGCACCAGTTTGACGTCTTTCTTGTGACGATCACATCCTTGGCACCAGTAGGGCAAATATGGATCTAAAGGATTCCTGTTTTGGCAACGCTTGCAGGTGCAATGCTCAGTACCGGCATGTTTGAAACTCTCGAAGTTCTGTTCAGTGCGTAGAAGTGCCAAATAATCGTCGATTGAGTGCTCCTGAGCGGCGTCGATGAGCTGCTCCCAGGTCTTGTACTTACGCGTCACCTCAAAGAAGTAATCGTAAACATCTTGAATAGTTGGCAGTATCCTTTCGAGACTTGATATATACGGACTTTTCACCGACTGATCCAGTTTGTCTAATCGCTTACGCAGCTCTGGCATAGCGTTCCTAACTTTCGAAACAGCAGCTACCAGATCAGCGCTGCCAAATCACAGTAATAAAGCTAACAATAATAAGCTAAGGTCTATTAGAATGTCATTAAGTGCTTACTTTGACTCCTTGATGGCATTGTGCGCCTTTTGAAAATCGCAGAGTGCTCGCCTTTCTGCCATCTCGCTAAGATACTCTGGATAGATTTTTATGCCACATGCGGAACCTATCAACAGGCGTCGACGTATGGACTGATATCGCATCCGTTTGGCCATCTCAATTTGATATGTCCTGGCATCTCTGAATTGCACTTCCAGTTTCCTGAACAGATGCTCAAGGAATAGTACCTGCTGATGCACACACTCCTCAAGGCGAAAGTCGAAGCGCGTGTAAACTGTTTTACAATGCTCGAACTCGGGCACCAAGAGATCGGGTGGAATGGTGGCACCACGGCATGGCGGCGGCAATGGGCGACGTTTATAGCGTTCTGGAGGGTAATCCCAGCATGGACCATACTGTGCCTGGGCTGTCATGGGCATGGGGGACTTCCAGCAAGGCTCATAACTCTTCTCAATTCCATAATTGATACTTTTGCCGCAAGCAATGAATCTAATCTTGGGCGGCTTCTGCGTCGGCGGGTACTTCCAACGCTCTTCGTAAAGCTTCTTCAGCTCACTAACCTTCAGCTTCTTCGCCATATCAATTTATAAGATTACAATACTGGAAATTCTCCCTTGCAAAAAGTATATAAAAATGTTAATTGTTATTAGTAATTTTGTTATATTTTTACAGCATTATTGGGAAATGTGATTTAAAAATCTCGGACATTGGCAAGGCAAGATTTATTCAGAGCATCAAGGAGTTCAGCACTTCGGAGCAGAATCTTAAAGAGCTTGCTGCAAAGCACAAACTGCCCATTGATCGGGTAAATAATATACTTCTTCTACCACTGATCGTCCACTTAATTCTTCTTTACTTGTTCAGTTGAAATTCGTACTGGTTGCACTCCAGCGCGAGCTGCTGCAGGATTATCGCCTAGATCTGGACAAGCGGCCGCTTTTCAAGCAAGGCCTAACACGATTGGATGAACTTAGCATTGGTGATGTGGTGACAGGCAAGTACTAACATTAAAACAAATACAATACATATAAACAGCGAAATTTTCTCTTTAATTCGTAAATAGGTGCAGTCACGAATGTAACACACTTTGGCGCATTCGTGGATATTGGCGTAGAACGCGACGGGCTCATCCATAAAAACCATATGAACAACATTGAGCTAAGCATTGGGGATCGCATTATCGCCTCTGTTCAAAAAGTGGATATACAGCGCCGACAGTTGGGCTTGCGCCTCGAGAATATGCTAGAGGAGACAGACACGTCCTTTACATTGAAAGCCGAATAAGAACACAAATAAACAAACCAATTACGTTATCCTCAATTCTTTAATAAAATTGTTTGAATCAATTTGAGTTAAGATTAAAAATGGTAATAAAAACTGTATGTGAATTTTTAGACATACAAATTTATTTTATTTTTATTTTGATGTATTACTGTTCTCTTTGTTTTGTTTCACATGTGCTACTCTTAATTTTGAAAAAATATATTGTTTGATAAAAGCTTGCTAATTACTCCTGTCTAATTTACGTCATGATAATGAGATGAGTCATACATACTTCTTTGATTTCCAGTTCTGTAGTTGACGGAGCTCTGCTCATTCTCTGGGTGTAGAGTTCCATTAGCATTTTGACTTTGGCCTAGTTCTTCTCCACCCTGATCATCATGCCATTGATCCTGCTGTTCCGTGCCCTCGTTGTTGATCCAGCCCTCCCCCTGTTCTAGTCCTCCTTCAGTTTCTCTCCATCTTCCCATATTCTCATAACTGTAACGCACTTGAGCTTGACCTAACTCATGTACGTCCGGGTGCCAATTAGGGTAGTTGCCCTCATCCTGCTGATTAGAATATTCGTAACCATTTGTATACTGAACTCGGTCGACCGGTTCCGGACTCTCCTGATTTGGAGCTTCATTATTGTTCTGTACTTGGTACTGCTCGGATCCTTGATCCCCGTAATTATAATTTCTCCCATAACCTGGATCTACATTGCCACCATGTCCTTGGCCCTGATCTGTTCCTAGACTATAGAAGTTTTCATGGCCTTCAGAATAATTTCGTTCCTGATCTGGGCAATCATAATTGCACATTTGGGCCGGAGCTCCAAAGCCATACTGATCACCACTCTGCTCAGGAGCAGCAGAGCCTTTTCCATGCTGACTGGACCATTCATAGCCACCCTGCTCCTGTCTTGCCCCTTCTTCACTTCTCTCCCCAGGATTTGCCGTTGCCCAGGCCTGGTGTGCGATTGAACCTCGCCCGCCACGTCCCTGATTCTCTAGATTTGTACCACGAAAACTTCTTTGGCGTTGAACCGGATTTCCATAACCCTGATTGGGTCCTGAAAATCGTCTGCCAGGCTGACCACGTCGTCTCTGACCCGGTACTGGACCTCCATAACCACTCCGTCCCTTTAACAGGCTGGGGCCAGATGCATGCCTACTATCTGGCTCAGAACGTGCCCGACGACCTGAGCTTTGTCCTTGGCCTCCTGAGTCCCCGTAGCGGCTAGGACTTTTTCTAGCCTTGTTGTGTTCCGCATTTTGTGCCACGCCCCCAGAACTACCCCGACCTTTACCTTTTCCGGGAGATTTGCTGCGTTTCTGCTCACGGCGCACGACTACCGATGTATGACAACCGACTAGATCAACCAGAAATCGAGAGTTTTTGGTATCACTCGCTGACCACGAACGCTTATCAATTGTTGATGCATAACTTTTCAGTTTTACACAAGGGTTCACGCAACCAAAGCGGCACTTCTCGGTCATAAACGGTACATAGAAAAATCTTTTTTGCGTTGAGAACGCCATTCTGTAGCGCCAAAGAGTTAGCACCGGTTCAATTCAGCAGATTTTGTAATACAAATTTCAACAAATTTTAAAATACCAAATTCTGGTCAGTTCAAAAATGATTTTCTAAAACGAATGCATTATTACTGTAAATCGGATGACAAAAGAGTTCGACAAATTTAGCATTTGCTACTGGGCATAACATTTGTTGGGAAGTATGTTAATTAAAACTAGGTAACCATTAGTGAGGCATTATGTCATTCCAATCCCTGAGCTCGACGCACAGCTATCGACTCATCTAGGGGATTCATTTCTGAGAAGCCGCATGGCTGCATTGTCATGCTGGCCGTGCCGGAGCTGATCGTACGCAGTGCACTGGAATAGCCGAATAGCTCGGCCAGCGGAGCATTCACAAATATCAACTGAAAGAACAGTAGTTGAAATACTTTTTTTTTCTAATTAGCGTCACCTCACCTTATTCCTCTCGCCTTTGGGCGCGACATCTTTTATAATTGCGCGACGCCTTGACAAATCAGCTATAATTCCCGATATACGCTCATTGGGCGCTACAATTTGAATGGACATGATAGGCTCTAATAGCCGTGTGCCGCTTGTGGTGAGGAGCTAATAGAAAAATATGAATTGAATGTTTATTTAAATGAAGGCGAGAAGGGGCCTAACCTTTTGTACGCACTGTGCCGCCGCAGCCATGACAAACGAATCAGCAGTGCCACGCCCCACTGTGATATTATGGAGACGAATCTGAGTGTCCACCACTTCACCGCCAACTCGTGGTCCACGCTCCAAGGCAGCAGTTGCTCCTTTGCGCACCACTTGAAGAAGTCGAGGACGTAGAGCATTCAGATTCGGTAAATTCTCAGGTGATTTATCTAGACTTTAGTAGATTAAAAATGTAAGGAAAGCTCACAGCACGACCCAATGTTAGCAATTACCTGAAAAGCTCGGTCTGATTATTGACAACCTGCAGCGTAATATTCACATTTTGCTTGATGCCTGCGATTTCTTTTTCCACGCTCAAAGTCGTTATGGCTGGTGCTTCTATTGTCTCCTTGTACGCTATTTGCAACGGACCCAGATCAACATCAATTTTATATTCAGTGAGCAGACGTGACTTGACAATGTCCATATGTAGTTCCCCCATGCCACCAAGCACTGTCTGGCCGGTTACGGAGTCGTAGCTAACACGCAAACTGGGATCTTCACGCTGGAGTTGCTTGAGCGCCTGCTCCATGGCCGTTTGCGATGATATGCTGGGCGGCTCGATAGAACAAAAGTAGACAGCATCAGGTATTTTGGGCTCAAATGAAAATAGCCCATGACTAACATCCAGCTCATCATCGCCGTCATCATTATCAACATCTTTTTGGGGAGCCGTGGAGTCCTGACTTTGTAGAAAACGTTTCTGTGCATTCTTTAAGGATGTGTGACTGGTTGTAAGCAGATCCCCAGTAACTGTGGACTGTAAAATAGCATGTTTATCACGAATCAATCATTTATTTGAAAATTACCTTCAGACCCGAGCATATCGCCACATCGCCCGCCTGGATGGAGTTCACCTCTCGATATTCATCAGCCAGTGGCTCATAAATTTTCGATATAACTTCTGCTTGTCCCCGCGAGCAGAGGACACGCATTCCCCGCTTCAGCTCTCCACGTATCAGGCGCACCAGAGTGAGTGGGCCTCGCTGTTTATCGTGCACAATTTTGAACACCTTGCCCGCCAAATCATTGCTGCAATTATGTAATAGTATAGTAAACATATTGACAGTTGAAAACTAACGTATAATTACCCAAAACAATCGTAGATTTGATTTCGCTCAGCGGGTGTTGGCAAATAGGCATTCACAGCATCCATCAAACATTGTATGCCAATATTTTTATATGCGGAGCCCAACAGGACGGGCACAACCTTTTGGCTGCACGTTGCGCGTCGCAGGGCACGCACAATTAGTTCACTACTGATGTTGTCAAAACTCTCAGTGCTAATGACCACCTCAGCCAGTTCATCATCAATTCCAGATAGCTCATCAATCAACTCATTGCGCTTGTCCTGCAATTGTCGAAGCTCATCGGAAGCTTCCAATTTAAGTTTATTATAAGTACGACCTAAATCCTTTTGTTGCCAGGTCAAGAGCTCCATTGTGATCACATCGTATATGCCTGCAAAATATGCATTTTAAATATTCTTTATTGTTTATCCTTCCACTCGGCATACCCAACTGTCCGTCAATATTCTTTGCCGGAATTTGCATACAAATGGGCTTAGCATCCAGTTTCGCCTTCAAGTCGTCAACGCATTTATCAAAATTCGCATCTGGGCGATCCATCTTGTTGACAAACACAAGCCGAGGCAGATTATGTTTGTCCGCTTGTGTCCAAACGGTAACTGTTTGCGCTTCCACGCCAGCGGTGCCGTCCAGCACAATAATAACGCCATCAACTGCATATAGCGACTGTTCTACTTCCATTGTAAAGTCAATATGACCGGGCGTGTCCAGCAGATTAATACTACGGAAAATCATCATTTAGTATCTAGTTATTAATATTCACTCATCAGAGGGTCACCCACCGCTTACCATTCCAGCCAAACGTTACGGCTGAGCTACATATTGTAATGCCTCGTTCGCGCTCTTGTGTGAGGTAATCCGTTACCGTGTTGCCGCGGTGAACTTCACCCAAGGACCGTGTCTTGCCCGCATAAAAGAGCATACGTTCTGTCGTTGTTGTTTTTCCTAAACGTAATTGAAATGATATGTTTAGTTCTTTTATAATATTTGTGAATTCTTGTTATTACCTGCGTCAATATGTGCCAAAATACCAATGTTTCTTATATCTGAGCTGTAACAACGTTTGATAAATTGTGCATGATGCCTTACCAAAAGCCTGTATTGCCTAAAGGCCACACTTAATAAGCTATATTGCATCATTTTAATTGATAAATACTTATAACAACTTAACGGATAAAACTGACTCTGTTGCGGTTTAAGCAGCTGTTCGGAACAGCTGTTGCTCGAAACTGAGTGCATTCATCGAATATCGATGCTTTAAGTTCTTCTGTAAATGTACTTACACCGATACCAACCAATATTATGTCGAATATCGATACAAAAGCTGCGATGCCTAAAGCATCGGCGCGTAATCATGTGATTTTTAAACGAAGTGCCACTGAAAAACCCTACTAAAAACACATTAGAAAATTTTGTTGGAAGTTTTTAATGTGTCATGCTTTTGTGATTGGTTCTCATTCACTTAACCATATATATTTTTAATGTATACGCATATGTGTATGTATAATGTATAACATTAGCACTTAATTGTCTCATCATCAAGCGTGTCCATTTAACGAGAAATCTATATATCTTCCTTTGCAAGAAATTTTGGATTACAATGTTTCTTCACAGTTTTTAAATAAATTATGTGTATATACACATATATTCTTTTTAAGCAGCATAAGTTTTCGTGTTTGTAAATTGTTTTGTTTGATTTTTCAATTTATTGCCTTTTTTAATAGAATTGTTAAAAATAATTATAAACAATTGTTATACAGTTACATTTACATAATTACACAATATAATATATATTAAAAAATATACATATGTATGTAGTCAAAGTTATTGTATTTCGTTTTATTTTTTCTTTTATGTGTGATCATTCTCGATTCTTTAAATTTCATATTCTAACTACGTGGACTTGTCGCGTAATCAACCAATCGTATTTTGTATAAATAATTATATTCATATATATATATATATATATCTGCAGCCGTACATAAATATATTGGAGAAATATACTTAACGCAAAAAGGCTAACCGAGCAAATTACATAACCGCCTACATAATTCGCTGTTGTTCATTTGTTATTGTATAGAGAAAGTATTGTTTAATTATTTATTTTTATCATTTATAATGATAGCATAGGTAATGATGTAAGTTTCTTTCAATTTTAAATAATATTCTTTATATGTGAATAAGCAGTGTATAAGGGGTACAATACAGAATGCCGTTCATCAGAGTCCTGTGCCAAATAAGAGAATAACATACAAGTTTGGCTTCAATTAAGATTATACGTCACGACTAACCGGGTTTTGCTCTCAGCAAAATTGCCAGCATTAATATTCAAATTATTCGATTTAAATTTAATCTGCTTATATATTAGATTGCAAACCCGACATGGGTTCAATTAATTTTATATAAAATATCAAAATAATTGGTCTGAGTTTATCTTTCGAAATTTTTGTAGTTCTCTGTTGAACGAACGTTTTGTGTGTAGGACCTAAATACCATTAACAACTTCCGATTACAAATAGTTATCATCATATTTTATGTAACTTAAGAGATGTACATAAATTCTGAATTGTTGGCAGACTGTTGGGCATCACACGACCGCACGGCACAGCCGCAATGTGTGAGTGCTCTTCCTTTTCTTTAATTAGTCTCTAATCCCCGTTCTCCCCCTACTCCCTTGCTCATCAGCATCGTCATGTGAGTGATGTATTGGTAAGCGATTTGAGTGTTGAGTGTGCTGTGTGTGAGTGTGTGTGGCAGTCGGAGTAATTGATCATAGACATGGGCTGTATTAAACAGAGAAAAACGCATAAGTTGTAAAATTATGAATCATATCAATTTGGTTTGCTTTTGTTAATATTGCTGGCACTTACCAATTGCTAAGTGGTTTTAGTGTGTGGTTGAAATGATGGAAATCAATAGCAAAACGAAAATGCGTAATTATTTCTTTTTCTTCTCTTTTCTGGAAGTGAAAATCAAATACGATATTAATACAAATTATACAAGTGTTTCAAATTAAATAACAAAATATTCATATTGTGAAAATGATAATAATAGAATATATATTCTGATTATATATAGTATAAATATATATACACAGCCAAGCTATTTAAAATGGACAGTTGATAATAAAGTTGAACATAAAAATTTTGCAATTGACTCGTTTGCTCACATTTGGGGCAAGACATTTTTAGGTCTGAATATCTATTGAATATTGCTTTGCTTGTTGCTTGTTCCTAAAGTTGTTCTTGCTGTTCTTGTTGCTTGACTCCAATGTGCAATTGATGCTTGTGATTGTAGTTGTTGTTATTGTTGTAGCTGTTGTCTTTGTTGCTTTTGTGTCATCGCTAAGCGAAAAATGTGTGAAAATTGCATTTTTAGTGGCTTTTGAAATAGGAGAACAATTGCCGCCAGGGCGCCAGACAACAGCAGGCGCCATCGTCGAGCCATCTGTAAAAATTCAAGAATTTTTCTTTTTGGTTTTTGCCATTTTGCTAGCTTGATGTGAAACATAACGCAACAGAATAAGGATAATGCTGAAAACAAGCAGCATTTGCATATGAGTTGTCCACATGGTTAGCATGATTCTTATACATAGTTTACATCAGTATGCGTGTAGGCGTGAGGTGTCTGTGAGTGTGTGTATTTTTATAACAACTAGACCACAATTACTTTGATTATCAAACAGAAACATTCTAGTATTGTGGGGTGTGTGCGCATAAGACTCAAAGAGCTCTAATCATATAACTTGTTATACTATAACTATTTATATGTATATATATAGGCATATATTAAAATGTTCTCGCTTTATAAACGACTTTACCAATTTAATGTATATTTAGAATGCATTTAGGCAAGGTATAAACAGTAAACATTACTACATTTGAACCACATTTGTGTTTTTTTTTTTTTCATTAGTTTTCATTAGTTTTCTAAAATGTTTTCTCATCTAATTTCTTCGTTGAACGCCAAAAATTGTTGTTTGCTACATGTGCTAGAAAAATTCTCTTCTGTTTATGGTTATCATTTAAACTAAGCGAAACTTTGCCTTCTTACAGTTCTAATTATTTGTTACTTTAGAGTTTTCACAGTATTTTGTGTGGGTTTTAAAAAAGCCAACCAAAAACCAAATCATGTATTTATATCAACTAATTATATTATGATTCGCCTTTTAATTGCTAACGCGCAATTCTTAATTCTGAATTATTTAAATATTGCTACGGTTTTAAGCTGTATGGTCTAAAAATTACAGTATTGAGGGGAGATGTACTCCTTGGAATATATATATACTAATGCGAAGCGAAACATAAAAGTATTTAAAACACGACACGGTTTGTATTTACATAAATGTTTGTTAGGGAAGACGACTAGCTGACAAACACAACAATTAACAAAAGCAACACAAGCCTAGGGGTTTAAACGAACACAGAAGCAAACTGAACAACACGCAATTAACGAGAAAAATAACTTATCAGGGAGTGTATTGCATTAAACCACACAAGCTGAGAAAACTCCCATTACGCGTCAGCCAATGTCCTGCTGGGCATTGCCGCTAGTTGAGGAGTTCCTGGCTCGCTGTTGTTGACCGTACCTGCTGTTGGTCGACTGCTGAGGCTGCTGCTGCTGCTGCGACTGTGGCGGCTGCTGTTGAGTATTAATACTTTGCGGCGTTGTGGGCATATTGACCGAGCCCATGGGGAATGTCTCGGCATCCTCCTCGAGCGTTGGCTGTGTTGTCAGCTGACAATGCAACTCCATTGGCTGCTGTTCGGCCAACATCTTGGCGTTTAAAATGCTTACATAAGCCTCGTAGCGACGTAGCTAGGGAATGAACAAATTAATTAACAAGCGTACCAGACTCGTGTCTATTCGGACGCACCTCATATTGTAAGTAGGCCTCCTTCTCCTTAAAGTTCTGCAGTGGCAAGCCTTTGCTGGGCACGGGCGTCTTTTGATGCTCCTTCAGTTCATGCTTCAACTGGGTCACTTGCAGCTCATGCGATTCGAGCTGTTCCTTCTGCAAATGTGTGGATTACCACATATCTATATAAACAATGCAATCAATTTAAATGTGGCACTCACCATCGACAGTTTAGTTTGTGCGCTGGGCAACAGCGGACGCTGAAAACGCTTTTGACTGCCCACACCACCTTCTAGAGGCGGCGCCGAAAACGCTGCGCACACATAGTTAATGGTCTCCACCCAGGAGTGCAGTTCCTTCGAGTCGCTGGTCTGAAACAGATACTCAGCCTGATCGGCTGTTTGCAGCCGGAACACATGTTGCTTCTTAGTGTAATCGTTGGCCATAGTGGCCAGTGCGTGATGTATGCGTATAGCATTATGCAGATTGTCGGACATCTGTTGGAATTATAGCAAAGTGTTAGTCAAATTTATTTACCTAATGCCAATAACTCAGCTGTACTTACTTGACTCTTGCGAAAGCCGTGTTCGTCCTTGTGCAGATATAAGACAAGATCGCGCAACGTTATGAAAAACATTTTCCACGAGCGTTTGCCAAAGGGAGCTGGTTGAGAAAAGCATAAAATGTAAACGGTAAATCTAAAGATCTTACAGTTGCTTACTAACTTTTCTTAAAGCTGGTATCATAACAGCACTTGCGCATCACATAGCCTTTTTTGTATTCCACTGCCGTAGCCGATTCGGGTGCATCTAGGAACGGATTCTGACTGACTCCCGTCAGCCCACTATTGTTGGTTGTCCGCTGCTGCTGCTGTTGATCTCCTGTGTCATCGTCCCTAAAAGAAGAAACAGATCAGCGGTTAAATGCAAATCATATGGGAGTTGATTTATCAAGGTGCTCACAGCGCCCATTCCAGCGGCTTCGTTTTGATGGCGTGATATAAATACTTTAGCACATCCTTAGGGAAGTTTTCGCCATCATTGAGATCGGCCAAATTGTCCACAAATTCAGCACAGCTCATTTTGCGACTGATATTCTGGCCATGCAGATCCGTGTTCAGCAGCATAATGGCGCATGTTAGCGTGTGCACAGCATCCTGAGAGTTAAACGTGCCGGGATTGCAGTCCAAGAAACGCTTTGAGAAATGTACCAGCACACGTTCCCGCTCCTGCGTCTCGCCGGACAGTGAGAATTGCTGCAGGAATTCGCGCAGCGCCAGATCCAGAGATTTCTTTTCAAAATTAAAATGCTTCAAGTACTCGTCGGCTACAGCACGGCTAAAGTCATTGCTGAAAATATAATATAAATTTAGTTCTGGTCATCAATAATAATAGAATGATGAACAAACTTTTTGCTGAGATGCCGCGATACGTCGCTTTTCTTGAAACCGTCGAGAGAGTACAGTCTTTTGGCCAGGCGTATGGCCGAGGGCATATCCACGGCCTTCGGCGAGTAGTGATATGAGTGCAGCGACTCAACATCACTGCCATCATCCGAAACGGGCGGCGACCCATCGCGTCCCCCAACCGTTGAGGTCGGCTCCTCCGTTTGCGTGTTGCCATCCTCATCGGATCGCGTGGCGTTGCTGGTGGTGATGTTGCTATTATCCATACCACGCACCTGTATGACCAGCTTGTGCTCGGACGGATCACGATCACGTTCGCGCTCACGTTCCCGCTGCTGTTGCTGGGCGCGCAGCTGTTGCTTCAGCTGCTGCTGTTGCTGACGTTGCTGGGCCGCCGCATCGGAGACAAGAATGGTGGAGTCCGAGTCGCTGGGATCGCTAAGTACCATGCCGCCTAAAATATCGCGAGAACTTAATAAATTATCGTCGTCTTGATAGTCTGGACTAGAGATATTTGAAATGGCCTCTGAGACGCTCTGATCGTTGCCAAAACCACCACCACCACCATTAGCACCATTAGCAGCACCACCATTGGGGCAGCCCAACAGACCCGGCATGGCAATAGGTGAATGTTCGCGCTGCTGTTGCTGTTGTTGCAATTGCTGTTGCTGTGCGCTCTTTGAGCCTGAAGACGACATAACGGACGAGGACACCGACGTGGGCGAGGCCGGACTGCCGGCTGCCGAATTCTGTGGCGATGAGCTAATGGAACTTGAATGGGAATTTGAATTCGATTGCTGACCGTAGTATTGCTGCTGTTGTTGCTGTTGCTGCTGTTGCTGTTGTTGCTGCTGTTGTTGCTGCTGCTGCTGCTGCTGCAGTTGCTGCAACTGATGTGGCTGCAGTGGCGCATTGTAAGTCCACACGATACGATCGCGATTCGAAGCCTGCATTGAATAAACATATATTAGTAAAATTTCAATTGAAAGTATGCATATAGAGAGTAGAGTATATCGTATATTTGTCTTAAGATTATTCTTGATTTTTTAGTTGTTGCACAATTTCCATTTGCCGTTGCCCAATCTGAGAGAAGGAGAGCCCTACATAATTGCCAAGTGTAGCCGTTTGTGTGTGTGTCGATTTGTGTTTTCAGAGTATCTGTGTGTCGGTAAGCTTTAGTTTGGACTACTTGCTGTCTACATACAAACGTTTAGCACAACAGGCAGGCAACAAAACATAAAATATTCGCAAACGATAAACACAGCAAATCACATTAATTATGAATTATTCTTGTGCATGCCATGCTTAACAAATGGCAACCTTTTTGCGTAAAATATAGTTTAATTTGTTGCTGCAGCCGCTGCCTGTTGTAGTGGTTGTTGCTCTTGATGTTGCTGTCGCTTTTGTTGTTGTTGCTTTCGCTGGTGTTGTTGCTGGCGACAATTCTTTGCACTCATTGTTATTGTTATTGTTGTTGCTCGGCTCGATCTCATTGTTGTTCAGCGCCGACGAGTTGTTCTTAATCGTTGATTCAGTTGTTGTCGACTAGGTTTAGTTGTTTGATTTTTAAAGAATTTGCAGATATATAGAAAAAGTTCAGGTAAAATGCGAATCAACAGAGAAAACGAAAGGAAGGAAAGAAAGAAGAAACACAAGTAAGAGTAAGAGTAAGATAGACAAGATAGAAGTAGTTGTTAATTGTCGTATAGTAGGAAATTAAATAGTAACGAGTAAAAAGTAACGAGTAAAGAGTAACAAGTAACGAGTAACGAGTAAGTAAAGTGGAAACTTGATGTATGATGGATTCACAAAGATACAGCGAATGATATATACTACACGTATGATAAAGGATTTGAAAGGTTCTACATCATTACACCGTTATAATCGTACTTATATCAAAAGACAACAACCAGAACTAGTTTTACACTACACAAATCACTTCAACAATGACAATCTACTTTAGGCATTGTGACACTGTGCGTGTTCTGGATCTGCAAATGCACAGCTATATCTGTGTTTATATGTTGGCTTTTCGGCTGGATATATGCCTGCGTATGAAGGCCTCTCTAGATTTATTTACAGCTATTCTGAGGCTTTGGCTAGCTAAACCGCTCTATTGGTCCAACGCTCACCTGCGAATCCTCCGAATCGTGGCGAGTATCCAGCAACGTATTCAGCGAGCTATTCACATCCTCGTCGATATCAATGGGTATCACAGCCGCAATGCCTTCGCGCTGTACCTGCTGCAGATGATCCTCAGATTTGCTGGTGCGAAAACCTGCAGCATCACACTTACGCACCACATGTCCATTGTGGCGGCGCACCACAACGCCAGCGCCATTGTTGCTCGACTCGGCCGCCAAGGAGCTCGGCTCCGGACTGGTGGGCACCGAGCTGGCCGTCTCCTTATCGATCAATGGTGCCGACAGCGAAATTGGCGATGTTGGTACCGAGAAGGAAGTCTCGTCCTGGCCAAGGCCTAGAACAGCCTCACTTTTAACCGTCCCAGACGAATTGGATGTGGAGGCGGAGTGACCAGCCGTTGCACGTGCAGCACAATCCACAGCATCTCGATTACGTTGCATCTGCTGCTGTTGCCGCATTACACTACGCTGCTTGAGTGCCCGCATGCGTTGCTTGGTTGAGCCGGTGCCTGAGCCCAGTGAATTTGTGGAATATTCCTCATCACCGGCATCATTGTCCTCCTCATCGTAATCCTCATCATCGTCATCGTCAACCAGACATTGACGATCACTATCATCCTCGTCACCGCGACTCAAGCCACTTTGGTACGTTTCGATGTTTGTGATGTCATAATGGGTTTGATCCTCTTCACGTTCCTCCTGGTCCGCCTCCAGTTCGTCTTCGTTTTGGTAGTACTCATAGCGCTGTTGTTGCTGTTGTTGTTGCGCCTGTTGCTGTCGATAGCGCTGCTGTTGTTGCTGCTGCTGACGTTGCTGCTGACGCTTGTTGTCACCGTAGTCTGTGGTGGCATCATCATCACGCTCCAGCTCCTCACACATTAGCAACGTATCGTTGGTCAGCGAATCTCGACGATTATAGCTGTTGTTGATGCTATCGCGCTGCTGCTGCTGTTGCTGTTGCTGTTGTTGTTGTTGCTGCTGCTGGTGTTGTTGCTGCTGACCACGCTGCAGCTTAGCCTCACGTTTCAAGGAATCCGAGCTGGCCGTATTGGTGGGCGAGTCTACCGACGACGAAGATGTGGGTGAAGACTCGCCGGATGCCCGCGGTGCTAAGGCCCCATTGGCACGTGCATTAACTACATTGCGCTTCGGGAAGTCTCGCAGACTGTCCACCTGTAATTGAAGCGATTAATAACAGAATATAAGCAATAAGAATTATTTGCGGACATTACCTTCTTGGCTTGCGTCGTTATCAAATTACTCGATTGGGGTGTTCTTGATAGATTCAATATTAGATCACCTGTCATCATATAAGCCTCAAAACGCGGTGCCTTAGCCGGCTGCGGCGGAGCCGAATTGGGTTCCGGCTCTGGCTCGCGTTCCGCGTGACGCTGCCGGGTGACGGCCGGACTGCCGCTGTAGCTGTTCGAGTGCTGCAGTGGCTGCAGGCCGTTGCCGTTTCCGTTAGCTGCCTTCGTTGGTATTTGAGAGGGGCGTGGTCGCTTATGCTGCGGCGACTGCACTTGTGGCACTGGTTTAGGGGCGACGCTTTTCAGAGCCTGTGGAATGCGTGACGGTCGAAAAGTCGGCGAGGTTGCACCGCTCCCTGCTGCCGTGGGTGATGTTGCAATATTGCTGTTGCTAATGCTCGTTGTAATCGTTGTTGATTCTACCATTTGTATCTTGGTCGAGCTGGCGGAAGAGTTGCGGCTGTGCGTGTGTATCGTGGTAGTTGTGGATGCTGCAGCAATTGATGTCACCGCTGTTGTTGTTGGAGAATTCTGGCGCAACGATGGCAAATGCGTGGGCGACTTGTACCGCAGCGCCGGCGAACTAGAATTTGCGGCCGTGGTTGTCCCCTTCTGATACTGATTCTGAATCTGGCGCTGATTCTTGGGCGAAGCGGCGTTTGGACTGCTGCTATAATCATAGATATTGATGGGAGATTCAATGTCCACGTAATGTGGACTCTGAGTATTGGCCAACTGCTCTTTAATGCGTGCTTTCAGCTTGGGATCTGACAAAAAAAAAAAAAAATAGAAGCATAAATTGTCGAAATTCAGGACTGTTTATATGAATGTCACTTACCTCGTTTAAGCTCCAAGGTTACTAAGTTCTCCGATAGGCGTAAACACTTGAGCACTGTAATAATTCAAAAATTAGGAAAATTGATTGAGCTTAGACACTGCAGCACTTGCCTTCCTTTGTGGTGTGCCGATGTACATCGATGCCATTGACTTTCAATATAACGTCGCCCGCTTCGACCTGTAAAAAAAGAAAAATATTCAAATTACTAAACGTTCACAGAAATTTTACTATTATTTTTGACATTTCCTGATTAGAATCGAAACAAAATAGGACACTGAAATGAATATTGATTTTTCTTCAGTATATTATATTTATGTTTTATTTTCTTTGCGCCAAAGCAATAGAACCACGCGGATAAACATGCTCCGTCAGTCCAACTTGTCGGCACTTGTAAACTATTTTTAATTCTTATTCGCATCCGCGTGTCAACAACGATAATAACAACAAGAACAACTCAAATAAAATACAAGCGAATTGGCACTGGCGCCTTGTCCGCCTGTTCGCGCTGACGTCAAAAATATATTGTTGTTTGATGAGCTCTCCATGGAGGGGTACGCACTTCTGTAGCTAATCCAAGGCATTTAGTTTAGTCAATACAATTTTCAGGCATGCCGCTCCATGTGGAAGCCCCTTCCAAGCCAAAGCCGAGCAAACAAAATTAGAGCACTGCTCATGTAAAATTCAAGCGGAGTGAAATTGGTTTTATTGCATAATTAATGGCGCGAAAAGGACGTTACTTCTAGTCAATATTTTAATTGAGGGATGTGTATTTTATGAGTGACACTGTTTCAGCTGTGGTTGTTTATGTTTATTTGCACTTGCTTGCAGAGATGACCATAGGTAAACGGAAAAATTGCACTAATTTATGCGGTATGTGCACGTTTTGTTCACAATAGACGTCAGATGAGCGCAGAGTTGCATGAAGCTCTTGCCTTCATCTGACATGCATACTAAAAAGAGAAAAGAGAAAGAGAGCGAGAAAGCTCGGCAAAGAGATGCACCGAAGAGAGCGAATGTAACGGGCTGCTTTAAATTCAACGCCTTTGAAAATTTGATACAAACTTAATTTTAAGTCGGTTGATAAGCGCAAATAGATCTAAGTATCTATGAATTAGATTGTGTATGTGCGAACAATTACGTAACATTTGGGATATAAGCAAAACCCCTTTAATCAAAAAGAAATTAATTAATGGCCGGCACAACTAATGCAATTTTAATATTGAGAAGTCCCTTACATACATACAAACTCACATAGTTGCATAAATTTGAAAAGCCTGCGACGCAGTGAAAAGCACATTAAGGGCTTAAGCATCATTTTTGAATTCATGTCTAATTGGAATGCAGTTAAATGTACACTTTGTAAATTGCCAACACACTCTTCACTCTCTTATGCACATGTAAACACGGCCAATATGTATGCATTCCGTAAAATTTGCTTGCAAATTGATTTGCTTTCACGATGCTTCAGCGTCTTCATCATTTCAGCCCTGCGCTTTGTCACGTTTTCATCTTATGCCTTCTTCGTGTAATCTCGAACTTACTACCTCCTTGTTGTTGTTGCAATCGGATGGGATTAAGAGCGGCGCGTCGTGAGCGCATGCAAGTGATGCTCTTGCAGACGAAAATTCATATGCAGTCACAATAGTCAGAGTTGCCAGACTATTAGCAAATGAGCTTAATTGCTTAATTAAACACTGATCGCAATCAATACAACATTAATAAATGATTTGTTCATAATTGTGCTGGTACTTATAGTACTTAACGGTTGCAAAACAAACGTTTTCAAATGAAATGTATTCAAAGTAAATACTGATAGCGTCTAGAATTATGGCGCCTCGTATCGGCTTCATTATTTTGGTCAGGTTTCAGTTATCTACTACCAAATAAAAACTAAATTCCTCAATTAGTGTCATTCTCATTGGAAATATTGTTATTTATTTCGATTGCTTTGTCTTACGGTAGTTGTCTTTACTTGAACTCATGTTTTCAATGACTTTTTTTTGTTGACTGCAAATCAGTTTATTCTGCCAGCAATATCAATTAACAATAGCAACAACAGCACGCCCACCCAATCACAATCAGGCCAGCAGGCTGGCTGGCTTTCTGTCTGGCTGGTTGGTTGGTTGGCAAGTAGACAGGTAAACAAGCCAATGCATTGATTGTATTAGTGTCATCGCAATGCCATCGATGACGAAGTCGACGACATGGCGTTGACCCAGTCAAGTACGAAGCGATGCGGCATAAGCATTGCCTTCACCGTTATGCGAAGGCATTGGCACGGCTAGCAGTAGCTGCAATCTAGAGCTGAGCCTTTGTCGTGTATGAAACATCGTTTCACGAATTACGAACTCCTAAGTTCAAGATGTTGAAAATAACTAACTTGCAAATATATGTGAAACTATTATCAAAAGACATTGAAAAGAGTTATTTATATATTTATTTATATTACTATGTCTTACTCTAACAATACTCTATTACCCTTCGCTAGTTATTTCAAATATATATACAATTTATAGAAAATCAATGTTTGCCATATGTAATAGCAAAGGAGGCTTTGCATAGGCGTTTAAACAACTTGTCAGTTGTAATTTTTTACATCCAGGGGCTACGCCAGCTGCTACCTGCCGCAGTGACGTACACACATACATTTCTAACAAGGTAAGCAAATACAAAATAGGGCACCGCTGCGATTAAGTGGGCTGTGGGCCGAATATCTAGTTGGCGGCTCAAACAATTCGAAACTGTTATTCTACTAATAGCTCTGCCATTCTGTTGAAGCGTGATTTCTTAGTTTCCATTGTATTTGTTGTAATGCCACACGTTGCCTTTCTCTTTCACTTGTGCTCATAGCGTGAACCATTGTGAATAGAATGACCACTGCAGCAGAGTCACAGCGTTGTCTGTCTGTCATTTATCATCAAGCTTGTCAGCCACAGCCGTCAGTTTGCTAGTCTGCTTTGACGTCTCATTTGAGTAGACTGCATAATTTGATTTTGCTTGAGCGTATCCCTAATTCGCGCACTCATTTATTTGCACTCATTCAAAATGTATTCAGCTCGGATCAGATGTCTGTATGTGTATGTGTGTGTGGATTTCAAACGACCTTGCCAGCAATCTGAACTGTCCATTGTGTGCTTCGCTTCCCTTTCCCAAATCGTACATATATGGAAATCAAGCGAAAAATAAATAATCACTGAAACACATTTACTGTTTCTAGGTAGCTAGGTGTGTAAGTGTGTAGGTGTTGTGCAATCGACTAAAGGGCGGAAGTCACAAATGGAGATATGGCATCGCTTTCGTCGCGCTTAATTATGTCAATTTGAGTGTCGGTCGACCCCCGTTTGACATGATGTTAATTCTGACGTTTTATGTTTACATTTCTTTTTCACACAAGCATCTGTTTACGGGCATTCGAATTAAGTTATTTACGCGCTTTGCGCTCGAATAAACATGGTAAATATGTAAATATACATACTTAAAGCCATAAAATGCCTTTTACCGTAATCCGTAATTCAAATAGCCCGTATCGCTATGCTCTAGAACAAGTTTTTTTTGCGAAACTTCTAACTGTACGTACCCAAAGTATTTAGACTTGGATTTCAATTTTTACGACAATTTCACAGCTGCTTAACTTTTTACCTAGTATAGTGTGAAACGCAGAAATGAACTTTTTACAAAAATACCAGACCAGACTATGGGGAAACGCAACAAAACATATAAAAGAGAAATACCAGCCTAAGCAAGGGGGAAGTGGCACGAATTGTAGCCGCCTCTACCCAAAAGCCTAGCAATCTGACCTGTATTTGCATTTGTGCAAAGCGAAAACTGCGAAAACACGAGCAAACCACCCAGAAAAGTTTTGTTTTTTTTATTCGCAAATCGAAGAAAAACAAGTTTATTTTCGGTGCTCATTTTGTTATTGATTTGCGCTCGCATTCGTTTTCGCGACTGCACTACGAAATTATATGCCGAAATAGCTAACCAGGGCATTAGAGGTGGGGGAATCATCCAGGCGACTACGCCAAACCAATCAGGTAGCCAGCCGGCTCGTCGGCCACTTTGCGTCTAATTGAGCATTCGAAAAACGACAAAGGGAATGCAAACAAAGAAAACAAAAACATAGGCACAAACATACGCATATAGACACTCACACACTTGCACACCCAAACACTTGCTAAAAGAACTCGAGACGGATGACAACTACAAGTGCTGCCACTCAATTTGCAGCCAACAGACAGCAGCCAAGTGGCAACACCGCCAGACAAAGTGCAGCCATTTATACTCATGTGTGCACATTACGTGCATTATATATACACAGACACACATTAACAGCAAACTATAATGTTGCTTTTGTTGCAGTGTTTGAAAGCGTCTTCTGTGACGCCTGGGCGCACACAAACAAACACTCTTTTTTAATATAATGCTTAGATTTAGCGCAAAGTTTACTGCACACTGCGCTTTCTTCGGCTGCTTTTTGCATGCCGAGTGCCTTATGCACTCATTGTTCTAACTTATTATTTCGTAAATGCTTGTTGCTGTTGTTGCGATGTTCGCTCTGGCGTGTCGTGCAACGAACCGCAGCGCGCGCTCAACGCCGCCGCCAACCTCTTTTAAGGCCACCCCCCCCACTCAACTCACAACACAGCAAAGCACAGCGCTGCTCAGCCCAGCTCATCTCACCACACCACACCACACCTCACCTTACCTCATGTTACCTCACCTCAGCCCGTTTCACCCGTTGAGCCGTCATTAAAAACTAACTTAATAAACGCGCGGGCATTTTTCATTTGTTTTTTCTTTCAGCTTTTGTAATTCAATTAAAGCGAATTGACTTTATAGTGTGTGCACTTTTGACTTCCAGTTAAGAGCAAAGAGAGTGGGGCAGAGCATAAGCTCTCTTTAGCTGGTCAAACGCGGAACGTTGACATTTATCAAAATGGCAAAGTGTCGCGTGCAACTTAGTTCTATTGTAGTTAGTTCGTACCGTATCGTGACCTGCCCACCGAGTCGTGTGCTACGCACATTGAACCCACAAATGACAGTTTTATGTTTTCTAGAGCTTGAAATTTGTTGCTGTAGCCAACTTTATGTTCTTTCGAAGACAATTTTCGAAGTGTGTGAAGACATCGACACATACATACACACACGACATACGTATATAATATATATCGGATCGGCAGACGAGCCATTGCATCTAATACAAAGGCACGTTTGCATGGATGTGTGTGTTTGTCTGTGTTTCGTGTGTAAAACTTGCACTTAGACAACAAGAAAAAATCAATATAGCCTTGTAGTTTTTGTTCTCTTTTGTTCCTTTTGTTTGGCCGTCTGTCGGCGACAATTAATTTGTTTTCAGGCAGCACAATAACAAAAGTCGTTAGTCACTTCCAGTTAAAGTCTAATTAAGCTCAGCGTTAGAATTTTGCAACAGCCGGCAGAGCTCATACTCGCTCGTGAAAAGGGGCTGGCAAGGAAGTGGGCGAGGCAAAGATTGTGCCCACAATATATGTACATACCATATGTATGTATGTATATGGCTGCCCCGAATGGATGTGTCCAACGTGAAATGTTGGTGATTAAAGCTGTTAATATGGCCTTTGGACCAGTTTAGATCAAACACACAAACACACATTCGCAGAGACATGTAATTTAAATGGAGACTGTTCTCATTCTGAAAACTCGTCTCAGCTTCGAAGAGTAGAAATTAAAAAGCAATTTAGTTAGGAACGGGAAAAGATCATCCAAAATGAGGAATATCCAGGAATTTGATTAATGATATTGTGTATATGCACATTTAAACCTCTTTCGATGTTATGATGAAACTAATACATACACACAGACGCTCATTTGTGCACGTTCGAGTGCGATTGTTTATAGAAAATGAAAGGCTTAGGTGAAAATCAACATTTGATATGTATACAATTAACTGTTCTTTTGTTATCCATGCAATTAATATAAATTTCTCACTTGTTGTCGTATCAAATTGTGAACGAACAAAACCAAGCAAAACCACACAGGCACGCACACACATACAGACACCTGCTGCAAAGAATGAGCATTAGAGCTGCCAGCTAACAGCAAAACGAAAAAGAATCAAAACAAAGAGAAGAACTCAATGCAACAGACATAAACAACAACAACAACAGACTTTCAGCAGGTAACTTTATACCCTCGATCTTCACATTTTATACCAATTGTAAATAATTAAAACATGTATATATTAGATTCTAATATATATTAAAATTCTAGTAATTATTTGAAGTATTTTTTATGACATAATCTTATACATCATAGTTTAAATAATATTGCATCTGGCACACTTGCTAATTAGCTTACAATTTTTTTATTAATAAACTATCGCTAAAGTCACGGTCCAGCACTAATGCCCGGAGACAACAGCAAACAGTAGATATTTATACATGCATTATATGCGCTTGCACTCGTACATATTTATACATACACACACGCACACACATGCATAGATATAACAAGCATGGTGTGTGAATTGTGTGAGATTCACAGCTCATTGAAAAATTATTGTGCAGCAGAACAACAAAATAACAGAACAACAGTCACAGCAAAAGACAAACAAACGTAAACATCGCAAGAGATAGCGCGACAAAACTAGCATCCCCCTCTGAAAGGAACAAGTTGTAAGCGAAAGCGATAATAACAAATTGAAAAAGTGCGTGCCGGTGTGCGCTAGTGTGTGTGTGTGTGTGTGTGTGTGTGTGCAAGCGTAAGTGTTAGTGCGATTACAACGCCGGCGACGATGTTGACGAGTTGCTTGCTCTGTTGACGTCTGCGTCGACGTTGACGCTGGCCACGTTACGTTATTATTGTTGTTGGTGTGGCTGCCTGACAACTTTTTTTTATATATACATACATATTTATACATTTATACATACATACATACATCTGATTGTTTTTTCATGTATTTGTCAAATTACTTAATATTTAAATTTAAAATTCCAAACACGTTTTTGCAGTGGACGCTTTGTGTTTGTGTTTCTCAGCTCCTCTGGCTTTCACACTTTTCTCTCTTGTCGTTCGAAACGGTGAGTCGTGCGAATAAATTTATTTCTAAAAAATAAAAAAGCCAAAAGCTGCACTCGAAAGCAATAATAATAAACGTACACAAACATTTTGTTGCTTGTTTGTTTTTTGATTTTAATTTTCTTTACATTTGCGCTGTCTGATAATTATTCATGAGTTGAAGTGTATGTGAGTAAGTGTCTCTGTCTGTGTCCTCTGTCTCTGCGTATGTGTGAGTGCGACTTAATTTTATAATTTTGTCTTTGCTTTGCTTTGCTGTTTATAGCTGCGCTTTATTGCTCTTACCGTTGTTTTTGTTGTAGTTGTGATTGTTTGATTAGTTTGCATTTCTTTTGAATAGAGTTGAAAATCCATATTGTTTTCAATGAACTTCACGCATTTAAAATGTGCAGCACGTTTTATTCCGTCTAATGCAACTCCCGGTGTACGTGGTCATATCCCTCCCTAACTACCCATTTCCGATGGATTTGTCATTTCTAACATTTCTGTTGAACATTATTCTTGAGGGATTGTCACATACTTATGTAAATAGATATATGTGCTTGTGTGAGTATGCATGTGTATACTTATATATATACATATGTATGTGGGTGCATTCGAATAAAAGAGTAAAGCTCAAACTAATTGTATCTCAGATATGAAAGGTAAACGATAAGAGATTCTTTTAAAGATAACATTAAACAATCAAAAGACACAAAGCAATGTTAGCTAACCTCTTAGCTATTTAAAGATTTCTTATCATTGTGCTAAGATACTTAAAAGGAACTTGGATGCCAACTAACTGTTTAAAAATACATTTCCAACACATCTTTTGCGTCACGATTCAACAACACAAATGATTTATCGCATTTTAGATATATTGAAATCAAAATGAAAACAAAAAATTCTATAGATGAATTGCCAATTCGATTTTAGTTTCAATGCACACAAGCAATACAGACATTCATTTGTATGTTTGTATTTCTTCATTTTGTTTTAATTTTTATTAAATTGAAATCGAAATGAACACAGCATTTCATGGGAATTTCAATAACAAAAGTAAATAGAAGCGAAACCTCTAATGAAAATTGATACATAGTGTTACTTCTTGGTGTGCGTGTCGTCGTATGTGCACGTATGTATGTATGTGTGTGTCTGTGGCTGTTCTCCCAATAAAAGAGCAAGTGACACGATGACATCACAGTGGGCGTCATTGAAGATGGGCAACACCGATGACTGCGTCGAGGTCGCGTTTCGCGACTCTTGCCAGTGCCTCAGGCTGCTAAATTGAGTGCTTTTCATACACTCTAACACAGACACTTACGAAATCCTCAAACGTAAGAAATGCGCTTATCTACAGCGGCAAATGCGACAATAAAAGGGGGTGGTGCAACATATATCCACCACTTGGGTCTGTTGCGCTGCGCCCCGGTGGTTGATGAAGTCATAGGGCAGTCCCTAATGGGAATACGGCAACGCCAAAAGTAGGATAACAGTTTGCGGTAGATGGAGTCAGAGTGCAATATTTGAGCAAACACAAAGCGGGCGAGAAAGAGTAAGGAGTGTGTACATACATATACACTTATGTACATGCATGCATCAATACATGCATGTGTATGTATGGTTGACTATTACTTACCGCACCGCAGTCGGCGGCCGGCGAATTCTCTACAATGTCGTAGATGACATGCGGCGGTCCAGTTGTGCCGAGCAGCGAAAACCCGAAACCGGAATGCTGCTCACTGCGACTGCGACGCAGCACCACTTTCAATTCCTCGGTCATTGCGCGACGTTGACGTTGACGTTGTCGCCCACTGCTGCTGTTGTTGCCGCTCCCTGTGCGGGTGTGTGAGTGTGTCCGTGAGTGTGTTGCTGCTGCTCTTTGCTGACCACCTGGAACTGCTAACCGTTGTTCACTTCGGTATTTATGTTTTGCGTTTCTTTTCTTGTTTTCGTTTTTAGTCGAATTTAATTTGCCAACGTGTTTGACGCTGTCGTCATTTGCACTTTGTTTTAATATTTGTGGCGGTCTTCCCTCTCGCAATGCTTGACTGAAGTTTTGGGCTTGGCTGTCGCTGCCGCCACTTCACAACTTCTTTGCGCACTCATTTACAATTGCTTTTATTTCACTTACACGCAAGCACAAACGCACACAAATGCACGCACGCAAACGCAGACACAGGCACACACACACTCACACTAGCACTCACAACACAAGTACAAATTCAAAATTGAATGCTCCTATTTTGTTGATCATATTTTGCAATTCAATTGCTACTCAGGCAATAAGCGCAGCTTTCTTTTAACGCAATTTTCAGCACTCGCCCATCTACAAACACAAAAACTTGTTAAAGATTTTCGGTGTTTTTTTTTTTTTTTTGAGACTTTTTCTCTCTCCACTTTCGACACTTTGCCGCAGTCGCTGCTGCACGGCTGCCACTGTAGCGGCTAGTATTTCAATTAATCATTGCGGCGCGGTTTTTATATACTGCTATGCTATTAACATAAGCTATATCTTGTATCGAATTAAATTAATTTATATTCAAAAAAATTGATGCAGATGCGCGACTCGCGAACCGAACACCACGGACGCCTTTCTGTTGTTGTTTCAATCTATCGATGTTTTATAGCCGCCTTCATTTATTCACCTAGGTATGCGTGGATATCGATTACAGTATTATTCGATTTTTTACATGACCATATTTTTATTATCGTACGGTGGCGCCACTAAATTTATTGAGCTAGATATGAAATGCAGAATTATAAATCAATAAGTGGAAACTCCAATAATAAAAAGTCAGAAATAAAAAACAAAACAAAACAAAAAATAAAGGTATGATTATTTTTGAAAAGCGCAAGAAAAGACAATTCACTTAATAGCGTTGCCAGATGTTGTCTAGATTGGCGGGTCTTTTGCTAATTTAAATTCTATAAATATAGTTTATAACTATGCTAGTCTTTTTTCTTCAATTCATCTACTCTACTATTGAAGTTAAGTGGAAGATAGGCAAGTAAAGAGTACCGTTCAATATCAGTGGACAAAGCTGCCGATGTGGATATCCGCACCGTAGCCAAGTGAAATGATGCGCAAAAAGTAAAAAGTGCGTGCAATTGACAATCATCTCCTCCATCCCTCTACGGGATCTTTTATGAGCGATATTAAAAAATGTTTAGATATCTTTCAGTCGCACAAAGCACTTGACTCATGTTTGTTGCTAGACCTAGTAGCCACACACACATGTGAGCAGCAGCTACTTCCGTTTCTAGCTGAGTCTTTTGTTTTTGTTTTGTTTTGCCATCCGAGTCTTGAGAAAACAACAACATAGTTTGTGGGTGTCACAAGTGTTCAAAGGCAAAGGCAAGCTGAGCACAGCAGAGTAGAGCACGCGACGTTACGGCTGGTCAAATCGGAGGCTGTGGGGGGCTGTGTGTCCAGATGTTGCGCACAATTATCATATCAGCAGCACATCATTTACATTTAAGTGGAAAAACAGATTGAGCCAATCGACTGCGAAGAGCTCCGGCCAATGAGCAGTTCGTGCACAGAACTTGACATAAGAGGCGTCATCGTGTGCCCGAGAGCTCAGTGTTAATTAGAGTTTTCGATCAGCAGGAGCTACTACGATGAAGAACTGCAGCACAGATCTGGCCGCCTATTACGTCAATGACTACGAGGACTTTGACTACAGCTACAACTATGAGTCGACCAATGCACCCAGCTATGAGGATTACAGCAACAAATCCTGGATTGAAGGCTCTACTGCGGTTTTTAGCTGCCACGCTCTGCAACTGGCAGCCAGCGTAGCTTCAGCCACGACCATGGATCAACCAAATGCCACAGCAGCCAGCAGCAGTAGTTCACAACGTAAGGAACGCACGGCTTTCACCAAAACCCAACTCAAGCAACTGGAGGCGGAATTTCGCTACTCCAATTACCTGACACGGCTGCGACGTTACGAGATTGCCGTCGCCCTGGAGCTGAGCGAGCGTCAGGTGAAGGTTTGGTTTCAAAATCGTCGCATGAAGTGCAAACGCGTTAAACTTGAGATGTCCGGGTCTTCGAAAGCCGACAATTAGTTTACTTTATACAAAATGTTTATTTTATTTTTTTTTTTTACTTAAATAATATGGTAAAATATACTATAATTCTACTTCTTTAGCTTCTTGCCAATCTTCTTCTGCAATGGCTTGGCCAGTTGTTTGGCTGCAGCCAGCTGCAGTGTTTTTGTAGCTGACTTCTGGGCAGCTTTGGGCGCTGCGACAGGCTTCTTCTTCTTCTGTACACCGCCTGTGCCCGGCTTGCGCTTGGTTAACTCGACTAAGCGCTCAGCGCCTGTGTTTTTGTTCTGCACCTTTTTGGGTGCCGCTTTTGGCTTCACCGCTTTTAAATCCTCTTCCTCAGAATCATCGCTGTCATCTTCAGCGCTCTTAAGTTCTGGCTCGCTATCATCATCACTTGCATCCACATAGTCTTCATCATCTGAGTCCTCGGTAATGGTGTTGCCTAAGAGGTCAGCCAGCTCCGGTTCCTTTTTTTCACCCTTTGGCTTTTTGCTCGTTGACGGTTTCGATTGCTCCGTGTCCTTTAATTTCTTGACTGGTTCCAAAATGAGATTGGATATATCAATACCCAAATGCTTGTACTTCTTTTCCATTTGCTTCAGTTTCTTAATGCCTGCGACAGTGCGTTTCTGGCAAGCAGCTTCAGTCCAATCATTGTGTTGCTTAACACTGCGCTGTATGGTTTTGGTTACGTCCGAAACATAAATCTCTTTGCCAGCCTGAAAATGTGATATTTTAAGTATATTAATGTTCTCTTATGCTTGTTCTTCTATCTTGGCTCACCTTATTAGTGACTTTCTTCACAGTATTCTTGAAGTAATTAATCTTTTGCTTCTCTGGTGGTATATAAGTTGCTTTGACCACTTTCTGAAACATTAGATAGTTGTCCATGGTATTCGCTGCCACTTTGGCCACCTCTGGATACTCGAATTCGACAAAAGCATATCCTTTGCTTCCGCCGGTCCGTTCGGAGCGTGCGAGTCGCAGCCGCGTTACATGTCCGAACTGCTTGAAATATTGACGCAATTGCTGTTCAAAGAATCCATGTGGCAAATGCTTGATGAAAACTACGCCGCGCTCCTTACGCTCTTTTGGAGCTGGTTTCGCCTTGCCTAGTTTCTTTTTTAACTGCAAAAATGGAGTTTAGGCACCGTTAGTTGGGGCTTCTCATTTCAGTACGTAACTTACCTGCCCAGAAATTACGGTTTTGGCTTGGGCCGGTGATTTGGAAGGCGTTACTTGTTTCTGAACCATTTGGGGCTTGGGCTTCCTTACGGCCGGCATCCTTACTTTTTTTATACTTTGAAAACAAACAGAAATATACGAAACTAAATTATGGCTCGAGCCGCACGTGGAATACACAGTAATAAATCGATTCTTTCGATAACGATAGCAATGCTGAAAACATAATTCTACACATTTTAGTATTTTTTTAATTATAGAGGTAGCCCTGCCTAACAAATTAAATAAATGAGTTCATAAATTTTACAAACGTTTTATTGACCAATACAAATTTGCAATGGTTATTTCGTGTTGCAAAGGCTACGTAATTATTTGTTTTCTAATTTAAGTAAAACTGTGACCTCTGCTTATTTCGGCGCCATTAAATCAAATTTAAAATGGCGCACACGGCAACACTGCAAAACAGATGTTAGTGCAATCGCGTCGTCCGCGCGTGAAGAAGCAACAAGCGAGGTGCAAATCTAATATAACGGGCACGTGTCGGTTTCCGCAGAGCTTTAATATATACATAAATACAAAAGTTACAAAAACAAAAGAAAACAATAAATAGTAAAACATATAGCACAACAATTGGGAGTTGCGCAAATTACCAAGCAACATGTTCTACTTAATTGGACTCGGTCTGGGCGATATCAAGGATATCACGGTGAAAGGCCTTGAAATTGTAAAGCAATGTAGTCGTGTGTACCTGGAAATGTATACCTCAATTCTCGGCTGTAGCCTTGAGGAAATGGTGAGTAGGGACCGCGGTGCGCGTAGCGCAAAAATAAAATATCGAATTATGTAGTTTTATATTTTAATATTAATTTTTTTAGCAAGAATTTTACGGGCGTCCCCTGTTGCTAGCCGACCGTGACCTTGTGGAGCAGGGAGCCGATGAGATTCTGGCTGGTGCTGGGGAGTCAGACGTTGCCCTACTTGTGGTGGGCGATCCCTTCGGAGCCACCACTCACACAGATTTCATTCTGCGCGCCAAGGAGAAGAACATACCCTACAAGGTCATACATAATGCATCCATTATGAATGCTATTGGCTGTTGTGGCCTGCAGCTATACAAATTTGGCGAGACCGTCTCCATACCATATTGGGATGAGACCTGGAAGCCGGACAGCTTTTACGATAAAATCAAACTGAATCGCCTGCACAATATGCACACGCTCTGTCTCCTCGACATTAAAGTTAAGGAGCCCACACCTGAATCGCTAATGCGCAAACGCAAGGAGTACATGCCGCCGCGTTTCATGACCGTCGCCGAAGCCGCCCAACAGCTGCTGACTATTGTGGAGAAGAAGGACGCTCTAGAGCGCAACACAGTGCTGAACGAACAATCGTTATGTGTGGGCCTGGCCCGCGTTGGTCAAGATACGCAACAGATTGTAGTTAGCACGTTGCACGGGATGCGTGCCACGGATCTGGGCGGACCACTCCACTCACTGATCATACCCGCCAAGGAGATGCATCCGCTGGAAGTGGAGTTCTTGCAGCAATATGCCGCCAATATCAAACTGGACGATTATAACCACTAGAAAGAATGGGCCCACCTCAGAAATTTATGTATTTAAGTGTTTAGGACACATTTGATCTGAATTTAAGTAGCTTGAAGCCACCTGCAGATGAGACAGTGATAAACATATGTATCTGGTTTCCCCAACTGCTTAATTCCAACTGTGTGTGTAGTTTTCAAACAATAATAAAAATTGCATTAAAAATAAGCCTGAATATTCTTTGTGGGAAAAGTCAGGTAGGATTTATGTGGAATTCTCGAATGAAGATATGCATGCTGCACATACTCCACCAACTCAAGGTTATCTTAATATGTAATACAGAGGAAGTAGATCCGTAACTGAATATATACATAAACATTCCATAAATTTACTAAATCTTTGTAGTGTTTCACATTTAATGGGGCAGCAATTCAGAATATATATAAATATATTTAAAATAAATATCTCCAGATGTCTACTTAGGGATAGAGTCCTCGCATGCGACGCGACGAGCCCTGGCGATCGTAGAGCATGTTGAATTTGTTGACGAACTGATGCATGTCGTTGCAGCCCTTAGTCAGCGTGCCCAGGTAACTGATCAAGCCGACGTCGTTGCATTGTGTGTACAGCTCCTCCTGAAAGGCGGGCACCTGCATGATGGGCAGGCGATGGCATAGCGCATACGCTTCTCGAAGTATTTCCTGATTCGCCTTTAGTTTTCCGGCCTCGACATCTTTAATGTACTGCAAGACGATTTTGATGCGAGCATTTAGCATTTTGATAGCACTGTCCTGGGCCACCAGATGTTCGGCGACGACGCTCTTTTCGCCCGATTCATTTGTTGTCATGCGCGCCACATGATCCACTCCAATCCGCTCTGCCTCCTCGGTGGCCAGCGTATAGGTTAACGGAACAAAGAGCATGGTAGCTTCGCCATCGACCAGGTCGATGAGCGATTCGAAAAGTTTCACGGGCAACTGGTCGACACTGCGTGGCAACGGATTTAGCTGCAGCATGATTGGGCACTCGTTAATTTCGGCTATTTGTTTTTGGATCTTTATGTCGCCAGCGGACGGACTGTCGCCCGTTGTATACCAGCCAATGAAATCCAGATCGCTGAACACCTGCATATCAATAATTTTTTATCAGATAAATTTATTGATATATTATGATTAAACTTACCTGTTTGTATTGTTGCTCCTTTTTGTTGTAATAATCCCTGTTGATGATTATTTCGTCCGCGATTTCATCGGCTTTTAGCTCAAATGAATTCATCACCTCGATATTTCGACCCTTCTGTTTGCCTATCAGTGCACCGTACACCTGGCGCGACTCGCCGTGCTGTGCCCGGAAGCGTGTCCAATGCTCTGATATATTCATGATGACCAACGGATGCAATGAAATTGTTACCGACGCAATCGTGCCCGTCGCAGCCATTATATTGCCTTTGACTTGCGGCTGTTTGGTGCCGGCGGAATCACCAGCTGCTGCGGATGCAGCCGCTGATGATGAGGTACTCGGCTGGGCCGTTATATCGGCATCAACGTCCATTTGCTCCATTGTATCACTGTGTGGAATATTTACGGGCAGTGGAAGTCAATGCACAAATGATTTGCGATTTTAATATATATTTTTATTTGATGTTTGCTTTGCGACTGACTGCCACCGATTACTCAGTTGCGATAACAATAGGATTCTTTGTTTCGTTGCGATAAGATTTTATCGATTTCGATATCTTGACTAGTTTAGGCGGTCTTTACATATATACAATTTTCAACCAATTTCATTTGGTAAAAATATATTGAATATTATAGTAGATCAAAATTTACAAATGCTGAAGAGTTTCCTGTATTTCTAATTTGTATTGTATTTTTGAATATAGTTTTTAGCAGCTGATAAAGTTAAAATAACCAAAATTTGGTATTTTTCATCCCCACCTACAAATGTTAATAACAGTTGACTGCAATGTTAATTTACTATCGGTGTTAGAAAGTCCATCACTAGTATAGCACCAATAAGAATTGGACGTGCAACGCAGAACCGCTACGCACGGACGTTTCTCGTAAATCAAAATTAAAAAGTACGTCCGCTATTATTTGGTTTTATCGCGAAATGTGTAAGATTTATAAATAAATGCAATCGCTCAAAGTAAACATCTAAGATAAAGCATGAATGGTGTCTAATCTCAACTCAGCAGCTGTTACGAGCCATTTAGAACTTTTGGGCAAGGTATGCACTAACTAAATTGTCGCTGTGTGGGAGACTCAATAAAATCTTCTTTATTTTTTGTGTGTATGTGACAAACCAACGAAAATAATCAACCAAAAAAAAACACGTTATAGTTGTACCCCACGCTCTTATGGCAAGTTTATTAACTAAAACCAATTAAATAATTGTCAAGTTTTTAGTTTTATTTTGGCGTTTCTCATTTCCGTGCATATTCCTTTTACAGGAAAAATCAATAAAATCCAATTGGCGCGCGTATACGTGTGTGTGTATGAGAGTGAGCAGAAACGTGTGTGTGTGCGCAAGCGGCTGCGCCGTGTGTGGGTGTATGCTTGTGCATCTGTATTGTCTTTTCAAGCTGCAGGCTCCTTTATCAACTGCATAGGCTGTGTGCGCGTTGTTCTTGTTGTTTTTAGTTTTTTTTTTTTTTTTATTCTTGTGCTGCTGCTGTTAGTGCTGCAAAGTGAATGTAGCTCAGCTAATTGATAAGTTTTCATTTCTATTCGGTCATTTTTTCCCACTCTTGTTTACCATAATTAATCACTGCGTCTGCATTGTAACTGCTCACATTTGTATGCGTATTCATATGTACATATTTATTTATTATGCATGCTCTGGGGGTCTCGCTTTGGTTGCTTTTGTGTTTATTTTGTGTTTGTTTTTGGTCGAAAGAGCGACAGTCGCGAAATAGTTAAACCAACTTGCTTAGTTAAAGTATTTAGTTTCCCTTTTACTTTGCTTCCATTTACATAATAATGATCTTCGCTTGCAAAAAGAAAAACTGGACAACGACCAAAACTAAATGAAAACAGCAATAAAAACAGAAGCGAAAGACGTTCATTAAAATAACACATACTGGCATGCTCATACACACATGCATACATATGTGAATGTGTTTGTGTACATGTATATGCCGACAGTCATATTTATGGGAACGGGCGCGTACTTTTATTATGGCACAGAAAGTACTTAAGCATTGTCTTTGAGCTTGTGACATCGTATCTCTATAAATAATATATACAACTTTATGAAAATATTAAACAACTTTCTTTAAAACAAAAAGAAGAAAATATTAACTATTATAGTAAAAATTTCACGATCATTCCCTTGCTATTATAATTTGATATTATACGATAAAGTTTTACATATAACATAAATAAAATATATTATTTAATAATATGACTAAAAATAAATCTACATAAGTTCATTTGTATGTGTCAAATATATTATTAACAATATTTGTCTTGCGTCCATTTATGCACATCAAAGTTTTCTTTGATTATGTATAACAAGTTAGAGAGAGTATTTAAGTTCAAGCTTGCTTGCCACAATTTTATTCGTCGTATTTTTGCGCATACTTCCATCATATCTCTTTTAATGCCTGTTGTCTGCCCATCTCATTTCTCAATCTTCAATCGTATACTGCTTTGGCGATAGTTCTGCTGTTTGGATTTCGGTATGCAAAATGTGTGCCAAGCCAAAACGTCGCTTCCTTTTGTGGTCTTCGCAGATGTAAGTGTGTGTATGTGTGTATATGTAGTTACTTACATACATATGTACATCTAGCTGCTCGGTTAATGACACGCAAGACAGCGGGAGAAGCGGCGCCCGACTAGACAAGTGACGCATACGAATTCCTTGTGATACTTGC